GATTCAAAGCATTTTACTAGCCAATGGGGACTGTGACAATAAAGTGATGCTAATTTTCTTTACAGAATCAAGTCTCTCTTCAGCTTTCAACAGAAAACAGAAAGTGTGATAGGTACCCGTTTGAAGAATAATTCTCTGAAAGTCAAAGATTTACCCTTCCAAGAGACCTTAGACTCAAGAGGAAATTGCCTTCCCCACTGGGGAAAATTTCTCATCCTCTGAGGCACTATGGAAAACTCAACTCAAATCCATTAGTGTTCTGAGAGCTATCAGCAGAAGAGGAGTATATTTCTGTATTCAAAATTTCCAATTAATTCTTTTTAAGATTCTGTAGCACAGGCTGGCTGACCTCAAACTCAAGATCCTCCTGCCTCAGTCTCCTGAGTGCTGGAATTACAGGCTCAGACCATCCTGGCCAGCTTCCGAATTAATTTCTAAAAAATCAGGGTTTTTTGTTTTGTCTCGTTTCAGTATTTGGTGGTACCAGTACTTGAGCTCAGGGTCTGTACTTGCTGTGCAGGTACTCTATCACTTGGGCCACATTCCCATCTCATTTTTGTTCTTAAATTGTTTTTTAGGTAGGGTCTCATATTTTTGCCAACAGGCCCCAAACCGAGACCTTCCTACATGTCTCCCTTGCAGGTGGGATCACAGGTATGAAAACATCCTCAGCCTTTTATTGGTTGAGATGGGAGTTTCTTGTTCATTTTTGGCCTGGAAACACAATCCTCCTGATCTCTGCCTTCCAGTGAGCAGGGATCACAGGCATAAGTCTTAAAATTTCTAACCTTAAAAACAGTCTTTTCCTTCTCAAAATGGCCATGGCCTTTATACCAGCCTAGCCTCTGAGAACCTTTGTTCCATAGGAACACATAAACATGAGGGTGAACAAGGCCTTCAAAGGTCCACATATCAGCTGTCTCAATAGATACTTTATTTGAAATGGAATGCATCTTGAAAATATGAAAATAAATGACATCTCTCCAAAATCATCTCAGAGACATATTTACATGCTACTAGGTCCACAATGTGATAACTGTAAAACACGTGGTACACGGTGGTGCTTGCCTTCCAGAAGCTGGGCTATTTGCATATTCTGAAACTTGAAGTAGGAGACCGGCCATGGAATGTTCACAGACAGTAGCTTTACCTTTCTTTCAAAACCTAGCAGGCCAGCGTCAGAGCAGGAATAGGGGAGTAGGTCTCCCCCAACTTCTATGAAGGAGCTTCTATGTAGGTGCTTCTAATGGCAAGGAGTCTTTCTGCTTCCTTCATTGGATAAGAATTCATTTGTGGGGAGGGGAAGGAGCAAACCGAGGGCCTCACACATGCTAGACAAGGACTTTACCACTGAGCTACACCCCAAACCCCAAGAATGCCCTTACCTCCATCTGGCAAATATCCTGCCAATGAAGTTATAGTTCACCTTGTCACCTAATCTTACATAAATCCAGATTGGTAACTCAATACTGCAGACCAAACAGCACCCTTCAAAACTGGGTCAAGAACTAGGAAAACAGTCCTTAAAAACCTACCCAACACACTTCCACAATTAACATCTCTTAGGTTGCTTTAGGTAAATTAGGTGTATTCCTCTTGAAAGCCTCATGGATGCTTGGATGATTCAATATCAAAATCTGGATTTCCACATTTAGAATTGACTCTGCTAAAGGTATTTATTGGTAAAACAAAAACCAGTTAGGTTGAAAATAGCAAATGTTCACAGACCTATCCTCCCCTCCCTCCCACCACCACATCTATGGAATTGCTCTATGTTCACTCCATCTTAAACCCTTCATCAAGGCCTGCTATTGAACGTGACACTGCTAACACCTGCAGCCAAACTAAACCATATCACTTTCCCTGTGGACAGGAAAAAATGATGTGTTTGAACTCACACACTGCCAACAAACTTGTTTAGTGTCAGATTTTAAATTAGGGCTTTTTAGGAGAAATAGAGTGTTTAGTACATAAGAGCAAAAAGTTAAAACAGACCTTTTAACTTAGGCCAGATCTCCTAACAGTGTTTATATGCAAGGAAATTCCTTTAAGCAATGTGGAGGGTTTCTTTTTAAACCATCATTGAAAACAATCTGTGAATTGAAATAAGGAATTTGTTTGATTCACACAAGATTAGAAAATCCCAGCTTGCTCAGTGAGAAGTTCATTTTGAAAGGGTCCCTTCTAGACATTTACTTTCTGACTAGAGGCCATAAGGAGATCTAAGTGGATTTCTGCTAAGAAAGGATTTAAGGAGCTTCCTGATGCTTCGCCTCTCCCAGAATTAGTTGACCTCAGGAAACACTAAAGCAACCAAAGGAAGCACTCAGTGAGACAAGAGAAACTACCTTCTTAGTGCTGAGCAATTCCACATTTTCCTATTCTTTCAGTCATCTGTCTGTTTTGTTTTTTTTGTAGGACGGGGGTTTGAACTCAACAGTCATCTGTCTCAACAAACAGTTACTTAGCTGACTATGTAAGAGGCTTGGTGCCAATACAAGTTCAAGGACAAAAGTTCACTTTCCAGATGGCACATTCCCTTTAAATTTTCCAACTTTTTACATTTTATGTTTGTATAAGGGGTGGGTTTTCTCTTGGGCCTGACCTTTTGGCTCTTTTTCTTTTTTAAGTAGTTAAAAGTAGTTTTATCCTTTTCCATGAAGTTGACTTGCAAGGTTTCATGTACCATTGGTTAGTAGAGCTACCAAAATATTAAATGATGTGTATTTGTATTTTGTTTTGTTCAGTTTTGTTAAGCATGCTTGGTTTTTTGCTCTGGAAAGAATACTTTCAGAGTATTAAAATAATAAAAAAACATCCTACTTTTTCTAATTTCTGAGATTCACAGTTAAATACTAAGAGGGGTTCAGACTAGAAAGCCATTAAGAAGGTCAATTCAACATAAATGTCACAGCAGAACAAAGGCTATGGAAAGACAAGAAACCATGATTCTGGTAGCCTCATTAAGAGCCCTGGCTGTTGTAGGGAAAAAAAAAAAGAAGAAAAAAGAAAAAAAATCCAGCAGCCAAGAGTGAGCCTGGGCATATTTTTTTCTTTTAACGATGAGATTTCTAGCTCTACGTGCAAATTAATGACATACAAGTGCCGTCATTAAAAACCTACATTGACGTTAATTATTATCAGATTATTTGGTGTGGACTTTATTTTCTTTTAACACAAGAATTTAGAAGAGAAATCCTCCATGTGGAAAGTGCTGTGGGTCAATCAGAGTTACTGTGACTTCCATGTGTTACGACTGCACTCCCTCAAAAGCTGGGCAACCAGTTGTAAGAAAGTCAAATCAAACGTAAGAGATTTTTCAGTCTAGCTCTCTGGGCTCTCCTCTGTGTTTAAAAACATCCTACGTTTTAAGTCTTCGCAGCATATTTTCACAACTGCAACCTGAACAGCCCCTGGAAGTGGGAGTCCACCTAATCAAGTTTTCATTTTCTCCTGCAACTTTTTGGATCAATTATGATCTCAAAATTTCACCATTTAAATACATTTCATTGAAACTCCTTTCTGTATAGGAGAATAAAGACATCTCTAGCATGAAACTCTATTTTCTTTTCTTGGCTACCTAACCTAGCAGTGTTGGAATACTGACCATTCCAATTCGGGGGCTGGAAAAATACTGACCAAGATACTGTGAAAAAGATGACGGAAAACAGAGACCCATTAGTAATGCCATGCAGATAGGAAGTGATTTTCAGCCCCGGGAGGACCTGGTGTCATTTGTAGCTCCTTCTATACTTCAGTAGCATCTGCCCTGGTGCATTCTGACCATCCCTTTGATTTAACACAGAAGAGGGTTTGTTCTACCTTTAAAAGCACATCCTCTTCTCCGCCCAACCCCCAGACTCCTGAACAAGTGGCTGCTAAAACAAAACTGGGGTTGTTTTCTTACTGAAAATCCAGTGTTTATCCAGCCTTTCCTTTTTCAATTTCTGAGTTTAGCAACCTAACAAAAACATAAACCCCAAATTTCTCACAGAGCAATGAAGAGCAAAACAGTTGGTTTCGTTGCTCAACATTATTTTCAGTATAAAAATAAAAACATTATGACTCCTAGTCCTTTGAAATATCTACCAAATGTAAACTATGAGATTTTTCGTGTGCTTCTAGAACAAAGTAACAGGACTAGAAATGTGGTTCAAGTCAAGTGTGAAAGGCTTTTATAATCTAGACAGTTGAATGATTATCTTTTCCCACTACATTTTTGAACTGAATGCCTAATGCACTCATATTCGTAAATAACAGTCAAAAGGACTTTTTTTTTTTGGTGCTAGGGATTGAACCCAGAGTCTGACACTCTACCACTGAGCTATACCCTCAGCCCCAAAAGAATTCCTATGAAACCTTCATACACAGGTGACAGAAGCTTCTAGGGCTGACCCACCCCTAAAACATAATCACGGCTTGACCATCTTGCCATCAGTTATGTCTTAAATATTTTGAAATCAGGTATCATTACAACTGATTTCCTTCTTGAAAAGCATTATCTTGAAAACTACATTTCCTTAATTAAAAAAACCTTTTATACAAACTCTATGTCTATGAAAGAAACCTAAAAAAATAAAAAGTAATATCAGCGTTTAATTTCAACCACCTGGTATAACAATGAAAGTATCAGACCTTCTGAAAATGCCCTAGGAATATCGAATGAATTTTTCATGTTTTCCCCTCCATCACCCTTTTTTTTCTTTTCCAAGATTAGAACTTACTATGGAATAGGTTTTGAAAGCAAAGTTTCTTTTTTGGAAAATGGCCTACATTCAGAAATGTCTTAGAACAGGCATTTAAAAAAAAAACTAATAAATAGTCATGAACCAAATACATTAAAATAAAATTACAGTACATCATCGCTCCTAGAAGGTCCACTACGTTAAAAGATCCTTTCAAAGGTTCGTAAATAAAGTCTTCTTGACTCAAAATCGCTTCCTGCATGGCGAGGAAGAATAGGCCAAAACTAAGAGGAATCTCGTTATCAGTCGGGTGATGTCCAAACTACTTGAACTGGTGTGGGGCGGGGACGCTCTTGCTTTTGATCCAAGTGAAGACAACAGAAATGTGCTTGTCCCACTTCCTCAAGTTCTCAAAACCTGGAAAGAAACGACACCGAATGAAGCAGGTGGCTCAGAATCCTCCAAAACCCAGTGGTGTTCGGGTCAGTCCGGAGGACAGAGCCATGTTTAGCCAGGTCGCTCCCTCAGTGCCAAGGTACACAATTAAGTGTCGCTGGGCTTTAAGCCACCGAACAAGGGCGGTCTGGTTGAGCGGGGAGGTGGTCCACTATGCCACCCTGCCTGGCCCGAGTCCGCATCCCCCCCTCTCTACCCGGCCTCTCCTGGCTCCAGCTTGCCTCCTTCTACCTCCCAAGAAACGGAATGGTTGCTCGCTTCCCCACCCCGGGGCCGAACATGGACACGAGCTTCCCACTGCTCCCACCACCGCGACCCACTCCTGGTAACCCGAGTTGCCGGGACCGTACCTTGTCTGGTCCTGGTGCTGCCCCCTTCAGGCAGAGTTGGAGGTGCTGCGGAGAAGCCGGTGGCCGTGCGGCTGCGAGTGCGGTTGTTGGTGCGGGTGCTGTAGTTGGTGTGGATGAGCGTGCGGGTGCGGATGAGGATGAGGATGCAGGTATGGGTGGAGCTGCTGGGGCTGAGGCTTGGGTTGGGGCTGAGGCTGAGGCTGGGCTTGATGGGGTTGGGGTTGAGGCTGGGGCTGGATTTGCGGCTGCGGGGGTTGCTGCTGGACCAGGTGCTGCTGCTTCTGCCGCGTGGACTTGACCGCCAGGATGGCCTGACGGTTCTTGTACTGCACCATCTGCAGCGTGATCTCGGCGTTCCAGCCCTGGTCCTGCGGGCACCGAAAGTCGATCTCCTTGCCCTCCGCCATCACCACAGTGAAGTACATATACTTGCCCTTGCGCTCCACGCAGTCCACGGTCTTCATGTTGGAAAAGTGCAGTTCTTTGAGCTTGACCGGAGGCTCAAGGCCGGCGACAGCGGGGCCGCTGGGTTGGGACGGCTCGGCCGTCACTTGCCCGGGCTGTTGCTGCTGCTGGTGTTGCAGCTGCTTGGGCGGGATGAGCAGCAGCCCCTCCTCGGTGAGGATGCAGCACTTTTTCTTCCAGAGCTGCAGCAGCCCGTCGCTGCGCTTCTCCAGCACGCCCTCCTTCAGCGCCTTGCATCCGCTGCTCTCGAGCATCCTCCCGGCATAAGGGGGGCCGCCGCTCGGCTCGGCCTCTCCGCTTCCAGCCGCCCGGGCCGGGGGCAGCAGCAGCAGCCGCGCGCCGTCCTCGCCCCAGCGGCTCCCACGGCCGCCCGGCCGGAGCGCGCAGAGTAGGCTCACACGCAGGAGGCAGAGCGGCGGCGGCGGCTCGGGGTCCCGGCAGAGGGGCAGCCGCGTCCTAATGCGCCGCAAGGTCCCGGAGCCGCGAGCTGCCCAGCCTGCGCAGTCCTCTTGCGTGCGCTCACCGAAGGGCACTGGCCGGACCCCCTCGCGGCGCTTTTCAATGGGCCATCCTCCCCACCCCCGAGCGACACCCAGCGGAAAAGGCGGCTCCTGGCGGCCGCGCCACGGGGGAAAGCCCAGCTCGGAGAGGCGCTCGGCGGCCGGCGCTCGCCTCATTAACTTGGGGCCTCCCCGAAGCCGGCTGCGAACACGCCCCCTGCGCCCTCGCCCCGCCCCGCGCCACCCACGGGTTCCGCGCCGCTTCGCCGGGAGGGCGGCGGAATCCGCGCTCCGGAAGCTCCTGTCGTCCACCTGAGGTGGTGGCCGACGGTGACCCAGCTGCCTCCCGAATGCCGACGCCCAGAGGCCGCAGAAAGGCCATCCTCACCGTCCCGCCCCTCGCTGGCCCGTGGGGCTTGCTGCCAACAGCCTCTAAAAGTGAGGCCCGCTCGCGGAGGCGGGAATGCCTGGAGTACCAAGCTGGCTCTGCGCGGGGGAAGCGGCTCTTGGGTTTGCGCTGCGTCGAGGTCCCGCAGCACCAGTGCCCGAGCCGCCAGTGCCGGAGGTCTGCGCCACCTGGGATACAGGGGATGAGGCTCAGGAGATGCCAAGTCCTGCAGAAGCGAGCCTTCCCACACGGCTCCGTAAACATCTCAGGGCACAAAGGCGAAGAATATTGTACTTTCGTCCAGTCATTAAATAAGCTCTTCCTGGTGTAGAAAATTTCCTAAATCGATAGAACTACTCCAGAAGAGGAAGGTGGACGCCCCCCTGGGTAGCGCTCGCCTGTCGTTGTTCCATCCCGGACTACAAGCAGTAGCCAATCTCCACCCAAACAAGCTTCCCCTCTTCATTAGTGACCCCACCGAACAGTCCGCAGTGTTTTACAAGAGTAAATCATGTACCTACAAACCGGGGGAATTTCCGGTGCTGGGACAACCCACACTTCAAGGTTCAGTTTGGTCTTATAAACGCCTGGTCGACCTTCGGCGGGTCCTTCTGTGACCCGGGAAGGTTATAATGCCTGAACAGCTCTCAGCTCCCTACTACAATACAATTCCTGTAAATTGCTTCCGATCTAGCTTCCTGTTGGGGAAATTCAACCATTAACAGGGAACGCCGGGTATATTCCAACACTGGGAACATACAAGAATGCAGGGAAAAGAAAGTAACCAGGAGTGGACAAGTCAGAGGTGGCCACGGAGAAAAGAAAGGCTGCTCAATGCCCAAAGCCAAAGGAGGAGTTTTAACTCTTGTGTTAGGTAGGTGGCTAGAACTAAGAATTGAAGAGGAGAAAAGAAAGTGAGATCAGCTTGTGTGTTAAGAAATCTGAATTTAATACCAAAACAATCAGAACAAATGATGTCTTAAACGGGGAGTTTAAGGGTTCATGTCTGATCAAATGGGACAATCCCAGCCCAATCCTGAGTTCCAACTGCACGTGGCTAGATCTCAGGGCCTTCACATAGTTGATACTTAGTAGTCTTTTAAGGAGAACGATCATTGGAGGCAGAGACCAGGAGTGCAGTTGGAGGCCAGCCAGGGCAAAAAGTTAGCAAGACCCCTTCTCAACGACCCACCAGGCATGATGGTGCACATTTCAAATCCAATCTACTTGGGAGGCAAAGATATGGGGATCATGGTCCCAGGCAAAACTAGAAGACCCAATCTGGAAAGGAAAACAAAACGACTGTAGGTGTGGCTCAAATGGTACAGCACCTGCCACTGGAGCAGGAGGCAAACCCCAGTACTATTCTCCCCACCCCCCAATTTTTTTCTAGTGAGATTTTAGATAGAATTGCAATTCTGTATGCCGGTGATGAATATTATACCTTACATCTTTGTTTCTTTCCCTGCCTTTGTTGGACAACCGAGAATTCCAGAGAATTTCTACGACCAGCTGTTCATCCTTTTAACAAAATGAATGACATTCTTCAGCTCATTTGAAAAAGACACTTCCTGTAAATCTGTAACTCAGTCTCTGAGGCAGGTGTACTTGATGGACATTTCAATGGGAAAATATTATAAACTTGACTGGGTAAAAGATTAAATGTAATCCAGAAGCCCAAGCTATTTCCTTAGGAGACACTCAAGTGCATTTGGTGCTAACTTTATGTAGTTTACCAGTATGTAACAAATGCGTTCTATTTTCCTATCCTAAGTTATTTGAAAATGTCTGAACAGCTAGCACAATTTTTAAAAGCACTCAATTTTAACTACAAACTTCAAAACTCAGGATTTCCAATTGGCTTATTTCACAATGATTTAGTAGTTTTGTGATCTGCTCAGACGTCAGTCAACAATGTGCATTCATTGACCACAATGAATCTAACTACTGAAGTATCTTAGTAGATTGGTTATAAACTCTGCTCTTTACTTCAACAGCTACCACCACTCACTGAAATGACCATAACTGCCAATCTTAAGACAAAGAAATTGATAGAACTTGTAAAACAGGAAATAACTAAAAATGTCTTTGGCTATAAATAATGACCACCAAAAAAGTGTCACTTAAGTTACTCATTTAGAAAAGCAGCTAAGAAAATTATTTTAGTGGGGAAATATGAAATGGCTAATTCAAGTTGTATTTTATGGTTGGCAATATCACATCTGCCAGCAGCACCTGAAGTTTTGTCCATCTCCTCTTGGATAGTTCTTCACTTGACTTCATTCTTAGTTTTCTTTCTACCCTAGTTTCCTCTTTTCCCCATCCTTTTCTGTCAGAGTGCCCTATATCTCAGTATTCCATCTCACCCAGTCTCACTAAATGCCATTGTCCCAAATTTATACCCTCAACTTAGTCCAACCCAGAACAATTATTGGCACATGGGTGTTCAGTACATGTAGAAAATATTAAGTTCTTCAAATGCTTGATGTATTTCTCATAATTCATTCTACTTTAAATTCTTCTGAAACTATAACAAGATGATAAGTTCCATATTTGTCACACCAATATATATATATATCATTGGGTATACTCAATGAACAACTTATACATGCTAATGCCCTCTGAATCATATATTCTGTAGATGTCCATGTCATCTAAATTAAATCCCACAAAGTATTATGAGGTGTTTTTACAAACCAGAATCCTATTTTTGTCTAGCAAGAGTAATTAAGCAGGTAAGCAACAGTACTGGAACTGGACTAGTGAGTTTTACTAGGCAGTTAAACAGCTGAGTACTTGCTTAAAAGTCCACTAAGCAATACTGATACTTAGCAGAACTTGAGAAGTTAGATCCAAGTCTACAGTAAAGGCCAAATGTTTTTCAAGACTTGTCAGGTATGATGAAAAGCAAGACCCTGTCTCAAAACAACTTAAAAGCTGATATCCTATGAAAATGTCAGGTCACAGCTTATGGAAAAAAACTGCCAACCCCAAAATCTAGCATGACTGATAAATGTGTATTTTTTCGAGGCGGCTCTACAGAAACACACTACCAAATTCAAGTATCACTTTTATAACATGAAGCTACCTGAACAAATTGGTTTTCTAAAAGCCCATGACCAATGTCTGCCTCTTTTGGTGTTAAGAACAGTTTTACAGATTTCTGGTTATTATGTACAGCCAAATTTCCACGTTTACAGAGCTTCTTTTAACTTAGCTCTGATTAAAATAAGCCTCTCTGTTGTTTTATGTTAATTAGTGAATCCAGCAACATTAAATGGAATGAAAACTAAAAATGGAAATAAAAATGATTTTGCAAATTGTCAGTAAAAAAATGTCAGATCACCCTCAGTGTATAAAACACAACCAAATGTTACAACAGTGCAACTTAAGATTTACACATTTCTTCAGCCTCTGAAATATTACTCAGAATACTTTTTCAAAGAGTCTAACCTCCAGAATGTCTTTAGTTGAAAAGGTTAAATATTAACTCTTTTCAGAATACCACTATCTACATTTCTTGAATGTCTGGGTGCCTTCCTTTTCGCCTACTAATTGATGAACTGATGCCTCCTAGTGACCAACTTGTGTAACACAGCTGAATACAAGTCAAGAGTTTAATACTCTAGTCAAGTATTCTTTGAAAAACAGTAGTATAGGCTGTGGAATGTTTTAGAGTGCTTGCTTTAGCATGAGGTTCTGGTGAGAAAACAGCATTACCACCTGTTTGGGGGTCAATCAATGCTCATCAGCTGTTGTTATTCTGTCCTGCCAATAACCTAATTCAAGTTCTAATTTCACTCACCCAAGTTCTTAAGTGGTCCAACCACTTAATCCACTGTCATATACATCACCACTGTTTTTTTTTTTTTTTTTTTTAAACTTTCACAGTGCAAGATCAAACCTAGGGCCTTGCAAATACTAAGCAACCCCTTACCTGGGGTTGTAAGATACAACCCCAGCCCACCACTAGTTTTCCTTATACTACAAAAAATTCAGTCACCTTCCATTGTATGAGGTTCCAATTCCTTGACCTGTCCTTTAGGTTTTATTCCTTCCATTTGTCACCTATTTTGTGCCCACTGCCTGCCTTACTTTCCCAAATCCTTTGTAACCAACTTAAATGCTACCTCTTACGTTTCTTCTGGTTAACTTCTTCCTAATCCTGTTTCACTTCAAACTCCTCCCAGTAGTTAAGAGGTTTTTAACATGTATCTTACTTCACTAGGTAAGATCTCAGCAGTCTTCATTATTGTACATTGACAGCACTTCAACTGAGGGAAGGTGAGTTTTCTGACTGAAAATACTAAGAACAGGGTTAAGTAGGCCGAAACCATTTTATTGAAGATGTTATCACCTGAGGAGTCAGAGTTTGATGTGAGTTAGATGCTAATGAGTGACAAATGAAATCAGGGGAGATGAAATGGAGCACAGGACTTTTGGTCCTAAGTTAAAAACTTTTAAGTAATTCACTGAAGTTCAATACTCTGAATCTGGGTCTTTCAGGGGTGGCAAGCAGAAACCTTATCAGACATTCCAGTGACTGACAGAGTACTGCCTTGTCTAAATACCCTCTGCCCTCCATTAAAGGACTGTGAAATACCTAATTTCCTTCACTATCATCACTTCTACTTAAATACGCCAGTTGTTTGCAACTCAAGTATGTGACTGATGGGCACTTGGGCAAATCCTGCCATGTAAGAGTCTAGATTCCAAGTCTTTGGTCTTCTTTCCTTTACAACAAAACATGGAGTCTAAGGACTAATGAATTTGAGAATTATTGATCTCT